AAATCGCATATTGGCATCGGTCCACAATTCCCATATCGGTGCATCCCTGTTTCTTTATACACTCTTCAAATTATGGCTCTTCAAGGGTTTCTCTTTAGAACCATGAGTTCCACATAGAACCATTTCATGATTAAATGCGTTCCATAGTAAACTGGTTCTTCAGAGTGATGAAGAATGTGTTCTACATGGTTATAAACAGATTTTTTATAAACAGATTGACTCTACATGGTACCAAAAAGGTTCCTCTTTTATTACAAAAAGGTTCTGCAGTAACTGAAATTAATTAATTAATTTAACTGATTAATTAATTTATTTGACTGAAATTTGTGGTACCAAACCTCTCAGAATAAAGTTAGTTAACCTAGTTAGCCAGCGCCGCTGCCCTGTCAACAAATAGGAGACGTTATTATTATGCCAAGCGTGAACGTTACTTTGCTGGCGCTACTCAATTAACGCTAATATTTTCATTAACTCGGATTTTTGTACAAATAGACAAACTGAAATAACGTATCCAACTAAGGGTGGAAGGATTTCCTTACCCTGTGAGTGAGCGGAAGCTTACCAACGAATCAGTAAGTAAACAAGTCAGTTAGCTTAGCTAGCTTAGCACGAGACACCAGGCTGACTAACCAGCAGAACGGTAGCGTTAGCTTAGTTAGCTGTTAGCAGGTTTGGCCAGAGGGCAGGTTTTACTGTATTTAATCTGACCTGTACACCTCTCCATATGCCGGCACGGGCATTACATTTTCTGATTGGATTAAGACGAACGTACATGTGTCTAATTTCCATTTATTTCGGACAGTAATTCGCATTAATAATCTCTTACCGCCGCTCGGTCAGAACTCACCGGCTGGTCTCACAAATACGAAATTCGCACTCTTTCGCAAGCACACCATTGGTCGATAGTCCCAGGTGACGAAACTGGATTCTTTAACATGATTGGCTGGGTGGTGCCCGTAGCTTTTGCTTCGTCCAATCACAACCGTGCTTGTTCACTCGGCGTTATTTGATTTCATCTACACGGCAGGCGTGAGTAACTTTGGAAGGTAATATAAATTATGTAGTATTTTGTTTGTGTATTTTTGTTTATCTTTTTACATTTATTTTATGCTGTGGACAAGGACGTGTCCGCACTATGCTAAATATCTTATTTTTGCGTGTAACAGCAGTCATTCCCTTTCCTGAGCTGCTGTTATGTTGCCGCAATAAAGAGGCTGAAGTTGACTTCCTATTCGTCAGTTACTGCTGCACCATTTAAACTGGCGAATAAGCTGACCTCGTACCGCAGTAGTAGCCAGTTTTGTCGTACCCAGTCCTGTGCACGTTAAATTTGTAGTTAATAGTATGTAATCGCTGTCGTTATAGTCAGATGATGGTGTTTTTCGTTACAGAGTTGAATGTGATGCGGGTTATTTGATCACATCACGTGTGTGCTGCAGTGTGCCGTTGCTGGAGTGGAGCTGTTTCTCTCTCAGCAGTCAACACTGCAGAAATCCTGCTGGCTGGCAGCTTCGTTGGCTTTGCTGGAGAATAATACGCCATACTGATACTGATGTCTCTGCTGGAAGACCTCGTCGATTTGCTGAGATATGTCCTCGAATATTTCGGTGTGCCCACTGACATGGTTAGTAATACTATTGTTCAGTTTGCCATCCTTCCCTTAGAGGTGGGTTATAAGTTGTTCCATGCAGTTAGTTAAGTGTCAGTTTGATGGATTTGTACTTTTCCTTTCTAATGGAATCGTAGTTTTCTGAGTGTTTTCAAATTATAGCACTTTCATTTCTACTCAAGTGTAACCTTGTACTGTTTTTTTCCAGTTGGGCTGAGCAATATGACAATATATAATCTTGATCATTTTGATAAATTATGTCACAATATAGTACATTTTTCGGTTTAATGTCGTTCTGTTGTGTTGGTTCAGCTCAGGATTGTTTTGTTGTTCACACCTTGATTTTTTTTTTTAGCTTAAGCAATTTATTTTAGACAAAAATGATCCCAAAAAGAAATTCCCTTTCTGAGAAATCTAACAAACTCTGGCCCCTATGCTGGTAGATGCATGATGCACTAAGCAGTATAAGCATTAAGTTATAACTTAAAGGGGAATTCCACCAATTTTTTTTTCAAAATTTCTGCATGATCCAATGGTTGAGGTGTAAGCAAAATCATTCAGAGAGCTTTGATGTTAATTGCTTAATTTGCAGAGAAACTTACAGACTCTGTTTTCTTTATAGTGGTGATGATAGGAACCAGGGGTCCCACTGTCTACAAAACAAATATAGCCATTTTATTTATTATCCACAACCACCAGCGAAGCTACGTATGCATTCTGAGATTTTATATGTAATGTTGGTGACGGTAAAATAGTCATAAGTCTAAAAAACTGAGTTTGCTTTGGGAACCTTTTTGCCTCACAGTGCCATGCATGTATCTGCCTTGAGTGGATTAAAGTTAATGGATTAAAATGCACTTTAAGCCAGATCTTTATCACAACACTTCATAAACAATGTCTCAGGTAGCATATATCTAACCGTTCCATGTAAGGAGCTCAGGGAGCTTTTAGAGGTGGACGTCTGGTTCCTATCCCCCCAAAGTGAACTATTCTGACTCCATAAGTTTCTGTAGAGCAGAGCATTTCACAACAAACCACTCTGAATTACTTTGTTTACATCTCAAGGGCCGAATTATGCAGCAATTTAAAAAAATCTATGGAATTCCTCTTTAAGGAACTTGTTCAATAGTTGTACTCAGTCCTTGTTTTCATCTCTGATCTGCTGTGGTAAAATTGAAAATGAATCCTAAAATATATGCCTACTTTTTACCACTGCAGCTGGTTCCAGTATGGGAGACTACTTTGTGCGGACAGTATCGCAGCATTGTTCGCATGATCGGGACTAATCTTCCTCTGGCACCACACCCCCGAGTTCACTTTCAGGTATTGTGAAAGGCAACTTAATCTAAGTAATACAGCTGTGTATACTGTGTCTTAATCCAAGGACCTCATTTGTAGAACATTTAGATTCACAGATCTTCAAATGATTGTATGTGAAAATTTACATGGTTTATAAAATGTGAATTTGTGTGTGACATACATCCAGCCTGACATCTAAACAGTTCACTGTGCCAGGGCCAATATGCTACCATTATTACAATGTGCAATTTGTAAACATTGTGTTTTATAAATTATTCAAAGGCACATGTTGAGAGTTTATTTTAAGAACAAATTTACAATGTTCAAATTTGTTTTGCAAATGAAGCCCCAGATATTTGCTGTAAGAAATCCATTTTTTTTATTTATTTTTTGTCAGCAGATTAAAAAAAAATACATACACCGATTAGGCATAACATTATGACCACCTCCTTGTTTCTGTGCTCATTGTCCATTTTATCAGCTCCACTTACTATATAGGTGCACTTTGTAGTTCTACAATTACAGACTGTAGTCCATCTGTTTCTCTGCATACTTTGTTAGCCCCCTTTTACCCTGTTCTTCAGTGGTTAGGACCCCCATGGACCCATACAGAGCAGGTACTATTTGGGTGGTGGATCATTCTCAGCACTGCAGTAACACTGACGTGGTGGTGGTGTGTTAGTGTGTGTTGCACTGGTACGAGTGGATCAAACACAGCAGTGCTGCTGGAGTTTTTAAACACCTCAGTGTCACTGCTGGACTAAGAATAGTCCACCAACCAAAAATATCCAGCCAACAGCGTCCTGTGACCACGGATGAAGGATTAGAGGATGACCAACACAAACTGTGCAGCAGCAGATGAGCTATCGTCTCTGACTTTACATCTACAAGGTGGACTGACAAGGTAGGAGTGTCTAATCGAGTGGACAGTGTTTAAAAACTCCAGCAGCACTGCTGTGTCTGATCCACTCATACCAGCACAACACACACTAACACACCACCACCACGTCAGTGTTACTGCAGTGCTGAGAATGATCCACCACCCAAATAGTACTTGCTCTGTGAGGGTCCATGGGGGTCCTGACCACTGAAGAACAGGGTAAAAGGGGGCTAACAAAGTATGCAGAGAAACAGATGGACAACAGTCTGTAATTGTAGAACTACAAAGTGCACCTATATAGTAAGTGGAGCTGATAAAATGGACAATGAGCACAGAAACAAGGAGGTGGCCATAATGTTATGCCTGATTGGTGTACGTAAGAGTAATGAAGCCCTACATACCAAAGTGCATTCTGGTTGTTTTCCTCCACTTGGAATGTAATATTAATAAGAGCATTGTTATACTAAGAGCCATTTCTCTTTCTGTTGTATTGATTTGTTACCTGTTTAAATGTGCTCTTCTCTCTGAGCAGATTCCTCTGCAGACTTTCAGGAGACATGGCCATATTGATGTTTCAGTGGATGCTCCTGGTATTCCATCACTTGCAGACGTGCTATATCTCGCTGAGGACGAAGGAGACAGCTGCACGAAGTTCAGGTAGTTAGAGAAGGAAAACTTATTTTTCCTGTTATGTTTCCTGCTAAAGTGCAAAACCAGTCACCTTTGTTTTGCAGCATCATAAAGGTGTTTCAAAACCTCTTGGTTGGATAAAAAATGACAATAATAATAATAATAATAATAAATAATAATAATAATAATGAAAACATGCTTTCCTTGTCTGCTCCCTTTTCAAGTGGGCCCTTGGGGAACAAAGTGCTTATCATTATAGCTTATTTTGTATTAGGTATTTAATATCTCATATCCAAGAACAAGTCAAGGACTGCTGCCTGTAGTGTTGTGATGTGTATACACAGGTGTACAATATATACTTGTCTCTAAGGAGACTGATGTATTTGCAGCTATAAGTAGTGAGTGTTTGACCCTGTGATTTTGTGCTTTCTTTTGGATAACCAGTCAAATAACACCTGTGCGCTATAATGTGTTGCAATTATATTTGTGTTTTCTTCCAGTGCTGCTTTTTCTGTCTTCTTGTGCTGCAATCACCTGGCAGTAGAGTTAGAATGAATTAAATGGATCTAAGCAGATTGTTTAAAAAAATGTTCTAGTCCAGCAAATCAGTTTGTGATGATGTCCTCTCACACATTAATTCTTGTAATTAACTATACACTTTCATGGATGCGCCTAGGTAAAATAGTATTATTTTCATGTTTAAATTAACCCACTTTTTGCAAGACCAAATGTGTAATTGCACTCAACAAACGGAAGAACATTATGTAACATGGGTTGTGTTTTAGACCCCTTCTCTGAGCGGATGAGTCTGACTTTTGTGAGTGTGTTGAAAGAGAATTCAAAGAGAACTTTCAAAGTGAAAACTTTGTGAAGGATGTGTCTTCTGAGGATCTAAGTGAATTATCTTCTAATGTTATCATATCTTCATCAGTATAAAGTTGATTTTGCATTTGAGACCTAAACATCAAGCCAGACCTTTTTTTGAGTCGATAATACGTAAATACGTATGAAACGGTCCAAAAACTCCCACCAACACCTCTGACTTTTAACTGATTGTTTCAGCTTTAACAGGGCAGCTCGCAGCAGCTCACACATCGTATTTGAGCAAGTTTTTAAATGCCAAGTTTTTCAATTTTAACAAAAAATAGTGCAGCTTTGAGGAGTAATGTATTCCAGATTGTGAAAGCATTGTTTAGAGCACCCTCCTTTTCTATCTGAACTACAGCTTTAATCCTGGCTATGGCACAGAGTTAATTTAACAGTGTATATACAATAAAATAAATAAATATATTCTTTGGGATGCTGAAACAGCATGTGCTATGTGGAAAGACATTTCTTCAAAGCATCGTGTTCTTTATACTGCAGGAGCACCATCCCGCTAAGGAAGTGTGAATGGCCCCAGAAGGCTGAACGACCAGCGTCTGCAGCCCCTTCTGCCCAAAATGGACACAGAGCTTTGGGACAGAGCACACAGCCGGAGGCCCTGCAGAAGATTTCTGCACTGGAGGCTGAGCTGATGAAACTACGAGCTCAGATTGCCTTGATAGTCGCAACTCCAACAGGTAACCACATCATCACAAATATACTATATATATATTTTTTTTTTCTTTCAGCAGTTTAGCAGTTCAAATCTCTGCAAAACATTGTAATGTACCATTGTAATTCTTTAGGATTGAGTTCATCACGACATCTCTGATTAAAAAAGGTTAATTTAATTAAAATACTGTTGATTTTATTCTTCTACACAATGTTTACCAAATAAACCTCTTGTTTACAACACCGTTATCTACAGATGGTTTTTGATACTAAATGCTTTCTTTCTTTTCTAGCTGACAGTCCGCTCCTGAGTGCTCCTGCTACACCTTGTTCTGCTCCTTTACCTGCTCCTGTCCTTACCTCCACTCCTCTCTGTGCACCTCCTCCACCTCCTCCACCACCTCCACCTCCTGCTGTGGCTAACTTATCTCAGGTCTCAGTGACGCAGGTAATCAGACAAAGGCAGGCGGCCAGGAAAGACAAAGCTGAACCTTCAGAGTGCACATCGGCGGCTGCCCTCCCCTCCATGCTTGACGTCCTGAAGGACATGAACCAGGTTAAACTCCGCACTGTGGAGAGGTATACCAATATTGACTTCCACTCTTTCGCTTAATTAGTATCTTTTTTTTCAACTTAGCATGAGTGTTAATGGTAGGTAGCTATTTAAGTCTCATTTCCAGTTGATTTGATTAGTGTATTTATAAAGTTAATTTCAGCATGGACCACCTTTAGGCATTCGTCAATAATCCCAGGTTGTGTCTGAACAAGGCTAATGGCTAGGAGAATGGACTACTCTGAATTTACAGCCACTGATATACTATTTGCAGTTTCAGCTGAGTTATAACAGTGCATATTATTTTACCTTTAGTAGACTTGTCAAATCAGCACAATGGTTTGTGCATTCAACATTATGGTTTAAGCTTATAAACCAGAGTTTATGCAAAACGTACATTACACAAAGTAGTTCTGTGCCTGTGTGCAGCCTATAAAACACAAACCTTGTCTTAAGGAAAATGCAGTTCATCTGTGGAATGTATATTCTTGAATGTATATTCGTTTAAAGGCTAAACTGCTCTGGTTTACACATTGTTTGCAGTGGAGTTTGGTATTAGGACTGGGATAATAAGCAATTCTAAAAAAATCAATAAACCGGGACAATTATTGATAAATTTCACATTAGAGCTTGTGGTTGCTCCTGTAGTGTGTTTGCTGATTTCAATGCTCTGAGCCTTGAGCTAGAGGTCTGCGTGAGCTTGATTATTAATGCCCGCATCTTGCCCATGCCCGCCTGCAGAAAACCCTTTCTTAAACTGTGATTAAGCTCAAAGACTACTGTTTCTGATGTTTCCACTGTGTGAAAGAACTCAAGTCTGGCACTAATGCCATGGACCACAGTGCAACTAACTGCAGTGTATATAAATGAAGTGAAATCAGGACTGGGATTTAGTGAAGCAGATCAGTGCACACAGTGCTCATTGTATAAACGAGAAAGAGAAAAAAATAAATTCTAGGTACTGATGTCATGACTCAATATGAAAAGAATAAAGTTTAGTCTGATTCATCCCCAGTGTTATTCATATTGTCTGTTTTCAGGTCTCCGGGAGGGACCCCTGTGAGGAAGAGGAGGAGTAAGGGTGCGGTGTGTATGTCGGACCCTGCTGCGCTCATTGCTGAAGCTTTGAAGAGGAAGTTTGCTCACAAGCAGAAAGACGACTCTTTTGATAAGGAGAACCGCTCGGCGGAGCTGTCGCCTTTTAGCAGCCCGGATACACCCAGAGTAAGAGTAAGCCTCTACACTTTTCTGGCATTAAACCGTTTTCTGGTATAGTGTTTTGCATGGTCTCTCTGGATTACTGTATGAGACAGCTGCGCTCTCTGCAATTCCTACAGTGGGATAGTAAAAATACAGAAATGAAATGATGGTTTTACATTAATTTACCTTCAGGGCGGTTTTACATCTACCTTTTTTGGTGCAGACCAATCAGACTTTTTCTTTCGTTCAGTCCATTTCGTTAGGTGTGAACACTCCACACGTACATGGGCACGCACTAAACAACTGAGCTGTGTTCCTCTAACCTACGCGGGTCCTTTCTAGTAAACCCTGGTTCAGTTTGCTGCTGGTGGGAACACATTTTTATGGTATTGTCTGTACCAAACAAGGGAATTCAACATCAAACCATGCATCTTTTCTCTTCGCTGTCCATATTATTCTCCTGGTTTAAAACTGGACTCTCAATAGACGTTCATATTGTTCTTGCTGCACGAGCTGCAGCTAATAATGGCAGATGAGCAATAAAATAAAAGCAAAGCACTGTGTTTGTTTTTGGCATGTGCATCGTGGAACATATTTTTGCTTAGGCATCAGCGACCTGATTGGTTGATTTGAGTAAATTCAAATTGACAAACTATTCAGTCATAAAGAAGCAGAAATAAAGTATGTTTTTTTTTTTTCATTACTTTGATTGTGATTCACAATTTTTGTTTTGTTGACTTTTCAAATTTTCTGTGTATTTCAATCATTGAAATGTAAACGGAAGTATTCAGTGGTTTGATGTGAAATGCTTCATTGTAGAAAACCTACCACCTCACATCAAACCTGAATGTGCAGAGTATGAATTGTGGATGTGAATTATTTAGAAGTTTTGCAAAATTGGTGGAATTCCCCTTTAATCCATGTCTGGGGAAACTGTCCTTGAAGTTCAGTCGCCATGTTAATTTGCAGTGTTGTACCACTGGGGGGTGCTGGTTTCCTTGCTGGTCATAAGCTGGAGAACCAGCTTATCAAGCGTTCTTGTGTTTTGTGCTGGCTCTCACAATGAGTGATTTCAAAGTGTATGGATCATCTGCTGGAATGTGTCTCACTTTTCCCCCCCCTACATTTTGCAGATTTCACACCCGCTGAGGCGCGGTCAGGGGAGAATTCATCTGTGACCCTTCAGCCTCAAGGTCAGGCCAGAAGCATGTAATGGAGAGGACTCTGCTGAAACGCCTTTTAAAGATTTTCTCGCTCTCACTTTCTTTCGGCATCCTCAGTCTTGCGGTACTTCTTTCTGTGGAAGAAGAGAGGAGTGGACTTCTTATTCATTCCTTTCAGCTTTGGATTTCTTTTCTTTTTGTACAGAAATACAGTTCTTACACTGGCGTTCTCGCAGGCTGCTTAGAGAGATGTTAAATGTAAATGTGAAAGGCCAGAATTATGAACTAATGTTGAGTTTATGACCAAGCAATACGTGACGGACCTCTGGTATGCAATGGCTTTGAAGCTTTTGCCTTTTTTAAATTTTACTGGTGTATAAATGCATTTGCACTGCTCAGTCTGCCTCCTGCTCTTTGTTGACAGATTAAGTCATGTAGCCAGTCACTCCACATGATGTACATTACCAGTGTGGTTTGTTTAACTTATTTGTGAGCGTGTCAGTTAAGAAATTTCACAAACATCTGAAGTGACTTCTGCTAAAAATCAAGTTCACACTATTGTCCTCTTACCCCAGACGTAGTCGACAACAGTTTAGGTATAACACTTAATAGCTTGACACAATTTGAGGCAGTTTGTGTTAAGATTGAGGCATGCAGTTTGCTTAGAGCTAATTGGTGAAGTAAAGCTTCCATTACTTGTTAGCTACATGAGCCTCATAACTTCAGTGCAAAACTAAAAAACAAACTTCTGGAACTTCAGACTTCAGGGAACAATTGTGTAAATTAGATTTTTTCTTAAACCATCACTTCAACATTCATTATTGCATATAAGACTTGTATTTTCATTGGGATGTGTGTATATGTGTGTGTTTGTGTTGGAGGCACGGGTTCAAAAGTATGCTTCAGACAAATCAGGGAAACTTGCTCCATTAATCCATTCATTAGATTCATCTGTGCTTTGCTGTAGCTTTGAGACATTTCTGAGGGAGTAGATTAAAAGGGACTTTGAGAGATTTTTCTAAATTTCTGCATATTTCAGTGGCTGTCATGCAGAGTGGTTTGATGTTTTTATGGAGAAACTTAATTTTCTACACAGTGGTCATGGTCAGGGGTCATGATGTCCAACACAAATACAAGCCTTTTATTTACTATTCAGAATGATCAGTGAACCTACATGTGTCTGCTGAGTTTTATATGAAATATTGATGTTACTGTTAAAATAAAAAAAGTACAAAAAAATTTTCAAACCATTTGTATGTTAAAGTTTAGGGACAAAAATCTCTCAAAACTCTTCTATAGCAATCCAGGAGTGTATTCATAACCATCCTGTGAGGGAGTTTTCAGAAGTGTTACTGATTCTTATCACCAACAGTGCTGACTTAAGTTTCTCTAGAACAGAGTATTTCACGTCAGACCACTCTGAATGACTTAGATCTTAATGATTTACTTATACATCCTGCCATCAAATGCTGTGGCTGGTAAACTAAGCTCATTGTCTCTCCAGTGTATGCTCACATTACAGCATGTGTGTCTCTTAATGACCTAAACTGTAATTAATAATGCAACATACACCTGAATGAACCCATGTCTATAAGACAATAAACAATTTGTCTTTAACTGAATGTGGTGAGTTTTTGTCCTTGTGTTACCTTTGACAGTACATGGACTATGTGAAAGTGAATTGAAATGAAAGCTGTATCTTCTGCTTTATTTAAATATTGTTTAACATGGTGAAGCTTAACAGTTCATTCTAAACATTTGTCCTGTGAATGTACCGGCATGTTATTCACTAGCAATCACTACAGAAGGGGTTCGAATGAACCTGTAGAAGTTCTTAAAAGGAATACAGCAGCATTTTCCACCTAACCTCCATGTGCTACATCTGAAGCATATGAATAATTACCAAACTATTCTGAATGTGTTCCTGAACTTAGCAAATGAAGTAAAAGCCCTATACATATTATAAGATATAGAAGACACACACACCCCAACCTCAAGCCCACAAAACCTAAGTATTTCCTCACTTAATTTTCAAAAATTGACCCCATGCAAGAAGTGTATTCCACATGGTCAGGTCAGAGTTTTGCCTACTTTGTATTTTAGTGTGTCACTAATAGTACCTAATGAATTGGCAAGTCATTACCACATGGACACACCATTTTTACTCAGCCTCCGTTTTATTGTCAGCTTGGGGGGAGGGGGCGTGGAGAATTAAGAGATGGAGTCCCCTTTCCACTGGATCCACTCCAGATACAAGTTTCTTTCCTTCAAAGACCTTCAGTTACTTCACCTGCATTCCTGGGGTCCACTTGGCAAACTTTTATGAGGGAGGTGGGCATGACCAGCTGCATGTGACTGGCCAGCTCAACATTGTACATTCTATTACCTGGATGTAAGACTGGACAGTGACGATATTTATAGGCTAATAATAATAATAATAATAATAATAATAATGCACTATATAATATTACAAAACAATATGCTGTTCTGAACATATGGTGGATACAGTCAATATTCATACAACACTCATTACTTAGACAGCAGTTAGTGTCATTTTAGTGAGTCCAACACAACTGAAAAAAAGTGATTGGTAATTTTAACAAATGTAACTCTGTTGGTTCTGTTTCACATGGCCAGATGTACCATGAAAAGTAAGTATTGCAATATGTTTTTGCCACATCACCTGAATGTTTTCTCAGAGACCCATATCGTCCCCCCGTGTGCTGCCCCACTGCCTGCTTCTGACCGGCATGCTCATCTAGAACAACCTGCGAGAAGTGTGGCCGCTGTTCGATTCTCCTGCCAGGGGGAACGGAGTATGAAACTTTACACGGGCCAGAGGAAAAAAACGCTACTCTGAAACAAAAAGCCATGGACCCTGTAAATCTAGCAAAACCTGGTGGAGCTCATTAAGCGGTGCAGCACAGAAAGCAGGGCGGTAAGGAACCAGGAGAGACACAGACACACAGACAGACAGACAGACACACACACACACACACACACACACACACACACACACACACACACACACACACACACACACACACAAATGAATAAATAAACAAAATAAAAATAAACTACCAACGTACAACATCGGTAGGCCCTTCACTATTTTTCTTCCCAATGCTCCACCCCACAAATTCAAATGAACCAATCAGCGAGGGTCAATTATCTTCATCAACCAATCACAGACTTTCTATTTGCTCTATTGTCACACAGCAATAACGAAAAGAAAAAGCACACCAGAGTGTAATCGCGTATTACACAAAGCCATCTTATAAAATCTGCGCTCATTTAAATTGGCCTTGCTTAATATAGCCTCAGTTGGTTCCACTAACACAGTCCAGGTGAGATCATGAGGTTCACGCGCGTGCACGCGATATTTAAACAGCCAAGAGAGTCGAGTGCAGATAAAGCGATATGTCAGCTAAAAAAAAGCAAGAAAAAAGCATGCGAAAATTAATTTATAATATTATGTATGTTATTATTTAGATGTTCCATTTTTTTGTAGGCAATCGAATAATACTTCATAAAATTAACACTTACTTAGTACTTGAACATAACACTTTATAGTTTATTGTATAAAATGCTACAACCCCGTTTCCAAAAAAGTTGGGGCACTGCAAAATGAAAATAAAAGAGAATGAGATGTAATCAAATCATTAAAACCCTACATTTGAATGGCTGAAACTGAGAAATGTCATTGTTATTTGAAAAATATGTGCCTATTTTGAATTTGATGCCAGCAACACATTTCAAAAAAGTTGGGATGATCAACTGCTCTTTTTTTAGCCTGGAGGATGTGGTGTGCATAATTTCCAAAAAGAATTTAAAATTTTGATTTATTTATTTATTTATTTTTTGCCTCAGTCCATCTAAAATGAGCTCAGGCCCAGAGAAGGTGGTGGCATTTCTGGATCCTGTTTATATATGTTTTTTCTCTGCATGGTAGAGTGTAACTTGCATTTTTATATGCAGTTACAAACTGTGATCACAGAACAGTGGTTTTTGGAAGTGTTTCTGAGCCATGCAGTTATTTCCACTACAGAATCATATCTGTTTTTAATGCAGTGCTGCCTGAGGGCCTGAAGATCACAGCCAGCCAATACTGGTTTTCAGCCTTGTCCCTATAGAGATTTCTCTGGATTCTCTGAATCTTTTATTGATATTATGTACTGTAGATGATGAAATCCCCAAGGTCTTTACTATTTTATGTTGAGAAATGTTATTCTTGAATTGTTGCATTATTTAATCATGCAGTCTTTCATAAAGTGGTGAACCCCTCCTCATCTTTACTTCTGAAAGTCTCTGAGATGCTCTTTTTTTTACCCAATCATGTTAAGGACCCTGTTGCCAATCAACCTAATTAGTTGTGAAATGTTCCACTAGGTGTTTTTCTACACAGCTTTAGCAGTCTTCTCCTGCCCTGTTCCAACTTTTAAACATCAAATTCAAAATAGGCATTTATTTTTTGAAAAATAATAATATTGTTGTCTTGGTAATATTTTCAATTAAATATTGGGTCTACATGATTTGCATATCATTGCCTTCTGTTTTTATTTACATAGCACAGTTTTTGGAAATAGTGTTGCGTGAATAATTACAGATTTAAAAAAAAAACTCCATAGACTGTATGTCCTAATATCCTCTACTGTCTTAAGTACACTATACCCAACTTACACAACTGGAGAAATAATTTATAACTAGACTAATTATTTTAAAGTGGCAGTATTTAATATTAAACTAACTTTTATTCATTTTTCCGTTGAAATTATGAAGTTAGAAACAGCATGTGTAAAATACACATGGCAGTAGCTGAAGATGAAATATAAACTATATAGTACAGTATCAGTCTAGATATATTTTTTGTACAGAATATGAATCAGTATGTATAGAAAACAAATGAATATTACATTACATATTACATCTAACCAAAGGAAGGCTTCTGTTACTACCTCTGGTGGGATGGGGGGCTCCTGTAATGGACCTGATTCAGTGCCCTGTTGTTTCGATAACATCATACAGAAATCTTCAGAGATTATTCTCTACAATAGCAAAGCAATGCATTTGATCTTGTTTGTGGAACATTGTTTGTGGTTGATCTTGTGTGGATTGCCAGATGGCTGACCCTTGAGGGGTGATCTGTGTGGCGTCCACCACGGGTCCGTGCGGCAGTGAGGACCTTAGGGGGTGCGGCCATGCAAAGTGGCACTCGGAGTGTGCCACACTCCTGGGTAAAGAGGGCCTGTTATTGCCGCTGTTGCTGCTGATGTTGTTATTGATGTAGTTGTGTTGCATGTTGTAAATTGTGTCCGAGAAGGGTGGGCTTTACAGTTAACTAGTAGTTAGAAGTGTTTAGTCGAAAAAAACAAGTTTAAAAATTATTCAACACTCTTTGAAGACTTGCAGCAGCTTGAGATGTTTTCTGATGCTTACCACTTTGTTCCCTGCGGATGTGTTTTTGTAGTAGCCCTGTTTTAACAGTCATCAGCCCCTGTGTGTTGCCCAACTGTGGCTGGTTATTTTGCGTTAGTAAAAGCACTTTCCTGTTAAAGTGGACAGATCTTCACCAGGTTGAGCGACAAAATGTACCTAACCCACCGGCGACAGACAGAAGACTAATGGGCCAGTACTTCAGTGTTGGAGTAACATCTTGCTTATTGAGTGTAGACCTACAATCCTAATCTTTTTCAGTTCCACTATTTTTCAGTTCCATTAATGCCATTATTACACTTGTAGGGAAAGCTGAATACTGTATCTCTTATTTGATACCTCAAAAGGAACAACTGAGTCACATGTGACCTACATATACGCAGCAGATGAGTGCTACCCCAAACACATCAACTTTAGCACACTTAAGAATGGTGCATATGCAAGGCATTGTTTGTTTGTGTATGCGGTTGGGGTGCAATGGAACAAATGTATTGTGTGGCATCTGTTGTTTGTTTCTGTAAACCACATCCTTCCAATCACTAAAGGTTAGCATGAGGAGGATGTACTGGTCTACCAAGGCAGGAAATGGTTACACACTAAAATCTGATTAATCCCCTATTCCGTCTCTGGGTGATCGTTTCAGTCGGGCTGCGTGATGGAACTTTCCCATTTAAACAATCTGCTTTTATTCCAGACTGTTTTTCTGTTTACCTGATTAGATGATTTCTTCACTTTCGGTGATGCACCTGCAAGCTTTCTCATGTCTCTCACTCTCTCTTCCTCTCTTTCTCTCTCCTTCTCTCTCTTCCTTTGTCTTTCTTTTCTCCTCT